GATCAATGAGGTACACTGCTGAGGGGAGCAGCGGGCGGGTTAGGAGAGGTCTGCCTCGCCATGTGGATCTCCTCCAGGGCAGGTGGGGATCGAACCCATTTGACTTTAGTTTCTTAGTGCTGTGCTTTAACCCGCTGCGCCACTAGGGAGGGCCCAGAATTTTTTTTTTTTTAAAGTAGTTGTTTCAGTAACCTGTTTCTTTCTTTTTTTTTTTTTTTAAGATTTTTATTTATTCATAGAGAACTGGGGTACAGGCCAGAGATGCGGAGGGTGAGCGGATTCACCAGAGACAGAGTGGGAAGCAGAACAGGCAAACTAACAGAGTACACTGCTAAGGGGAGCAGCGGGCAAGACAGGAGAGGTCTGCTGCACCATTTGGATCACCTCTTAGGGCTGGGATTGAACTCATGAAGAAGAGGCTTTAAGCTTCTCAGTCCTGTGTTGGGGACCAAGGCCGGCATCTTGCGTCTGTCAGCATCTTGTGCCATAAAAAGGTGAAATGGAGTCCGGATAGAGAAAAACATACGGGTTGCAAAAGGCATGTGGGAAGCACTCCCTGCCCCCACCTTTTCCCTTTCCTCTTTCTTTTCTCACCCACTTTGGCCCCTCACGAGACCAACTGCCACCAAAACATGCTGCATTTCTATTGGCCTTCTCCCTTTCTGGCATCCCTCTCCTCTTGTATATAGCTGAGGTAAAAACCCAATAAAGAGTTCTTTCTTGTTCTGCTACACGTGTGTGACTGATTCTTTTGTTCGCCAGATCTGGGGCCCAGAATCTCCCGCCTTGCTGGTCAAGGTCCCCCGCAGTCCTGTGCCTTAACCCAAAATCAGAATTTTTAAAAAAGGAATTAAGGGCCCTACCTGGTGGTGCAAGGAGTTAAGCACAGCACTATGAAGCTATAAGCAGCTACTTCAGTGCAAGTTCAAACCCCAGCCAGGGAGGTGACCCACATGATGTGGCAGACCTCTCCTGTCTCACCCACTGCTCCCTTTATTAGTGTATTTCAGTAGATCTTCCTGTTCTGCTTCCCACTCTGTCTCTGGTAAACCTCTCACTGCCCCTGCATCTCTGTCCTATACCCCAGTTCTGTGTGCAGAAATAAATTTTTTAAAAATAAATAAGTAAAAAAAAATTAATATGGTTTAAGGAAAATGCATATCATCAAAAAGTGCTTTTAAGTACACATTCAAAGAACTCAAAAATACTTTTGAGTATTTTTCACTTTTCACTTAGCAAACTGGCAAAACTTTCATAAACCCTAATTCCTTCCTGATAATAAGAAAGAATAATTGTAATTTCATTATATTACAACTTTGGATCCTACAGTCCAACTTCTATCACTTCCTTGTATATAAGTAATCACAGATATGTACAAAGATTAACTACAAAGATACCACATTTTTCTTAGTGGCCAAAGACTGAAAGCACCACAATTATGGTCCCAACAAAAGATGAAAGCTATAAGCCATGACACCCCAAGGAAGGCTCTATAGTCACTGAAAACAGGTCAGCAAAGAAGACAGAACTACAAGGAAAACATGCATTAAACATTTTAAAATCAGGAATTGGTACTATGTATAACGTGAACTGCTAATCTAAAAATAACATACACATCAAATGAGAAGTAGGGAAATATCCATCAAAACACTATCAACTCTTACTTCTGAGTGGTGGAACAAGTCAAACTTTTCTACATTCCCTGTAGAGCACCTGTATTTTTTTAGAACTAAAATGAAAAAGTTTTCTACCACACACACTAGTAATTGTGCTATTTATTATTTTTAAAACCAAACTATTGTGGCCGTTGTACAAAACATGCCTGTGTTTGAAATAAATTTAATTCATACGTTAATGATCAAGAGTATTTTCCCTGCAGAGAAGCAGATATCTATAGCTTCTGGCAGCTGAAGCATGAATTAAAGCTGTCAGCTCCTCCCAGGAATCTCCTTCGACACAGGTGGAACTTAGCTGACACGTGGTCAATTCAGGGCTCATCAAAGAAAAGCATGAAGATTCATGTTCTTAGTTCCACATTCACAAAAGTGTTCTCACTCCCTCCACTTTGTGTAGAAAGAAAATGAGTAGTCTTGACATGTCTTCTCATTTGTTCATCTCCTTTCACTCCCAGTCTGTTTCATTCGTTTACAAAAAGAAAAAGCATTAATCCTGCCTCCCACAGCTTGAGCAGTAAAAGAAGTTTGATGCCCACACAGAGCAAAAGAGACCAGCACACACACCAGAAAATAAAGACACGGATAGTGGGCTCCCTAGTGGCACAAGCGGTTAAGTCTCAGCACTACGAAGCTATCTGCAGTCACCACTGCACGAGTGAGATCCCCAGCCAGGGAGCTGGCCCACATGGTGCAGCAGACCTCTCCTGATCCACCTGCTGCTCCCCTCAGCCGTGTATCTCAGTAGATCTGTCTGTGCCGCTCCCCCCTCTCTCACCCCCGACACCTCTGGCCTATACCCCAGTTCTAGTACACACAATTAAATATTTAAAACAAAAAAAAGAGACATGGATATATGTTTAACCATGTATCCAGAAGCTTGAACAAATTACTGTAAAAGCTGAAAGATAGAAATGGGTCTCCACTCCCAAAACCTTATTACGGTACTTACAGAATAAGTGAGTCAACCAACCTCTCCAATGAAGCAGCCCTAGTATGTTTAAAAACAATGGTAGAAAATATGTCATTTCAACTTTGCTAAGCTAGAA